GGGAGGAAAAAAGGTGCCCACTTCTAGTCCCCTCCACTTACTTTCAAGATCTCATCTGATGAAGAGATAACATTCTCAAAAGTTCACACATTTTCTTGTCTCTCTGTACACTTATCACTGTAGCACAGAGAGTTCACTAGATTAGAAGCTTAGAACAATTTTAAAAGGCGTTCTCCCACTTTTTGTTGCAGTATGTGATTTCCCTTTGTTTTGGTTCTTCCATCTTACCTGTTTTGCTTTCTGATTTGTCAACAGAAGGTAAACAGGCGCTAAATTTGTTAGCCTGTTGTGCAGACATGTTATCTCTAAGGAAAATCCTTTACTGGGATCTTAAAAGAATTTGTTAATCACAGAGAATATCTGTCCTTTTCAGTGTCTAGTTTCACTCTCAACTTGTTTCTTGAGAAAAGCCATCAGTCTTTACTATAAGAGTAGGGATGGGCATAGGAAAAAAACTGCATTTCTTTTAGTCCAGGTTCTTGGCGTGTGTGTGCCTCTTTAGTTTTTTGCATTTTATTTTAATTTTTTGTACACCAGTTGTTTATTTTCTCAAAAAGGAAAGTTTTCCCCCAAGTAATTCATTATATGTTTCCCCGTTTATGTTTTTTGGTAATCCATAACCCTGAAGAATCCCTTAAAACGACTCCCAAAAAGCAGAGGCAAAGCAACACAGAAGCAAGCAAGTGATAGTACATGAGAAGCAGAAAAAATGATAATATCAATTCACTCAGCATGATTGACCTCTGAGCCTGGACATCACAAGAAGAAAAAGGCAAAGAAGTGGCCAGGCAGCCAGGCACTGGTTGTCTGGCACATAGGGATATCCATTTTCCAGAGCAACCAACCATACCGCAACATTAATCCAAACTTGTGTCTAACCACAACCACAACCACACACACAGCCCAATGACCAATTAGCACAATCGCAATGTCCACTCCCTCAGCCCATACACCCCCACAAAAGCAAACAGAAAAGTCCCAACCTTTAACAGAATAAATACACAGTAAATTAGTCAAATAGCAAATTGTAAAAAATCAGTCAAACTGGGAAAGCACCCGCGACTCTAGAAAAGATTAGCAAACAAATATTTTCCCCCCTCTGTTCTCTCCCAAAAAACCAAGAATAGGAAGCAAGCAAGTAAAAGCAAACAAAACAAAACACACACACACAAAAAAAAACACTCAAAGCCCCTGAAACCAACACTACTAGAATATGAGGGTATTTCCCTTCCTCTACTACTGCATGATGCTTTCTCTCCTCTTCATTGAGTCCAGCATGACGGGGCCAGAGAGCAAAACTAATCTCAAAAACAGAAAGGCCCACCCAACCTTCAAAATACAGCCAAACAAAAAACACACATACATACAAAAAACAAAAACAAGGAAGGGTAAAAATCAGGGTGGGAGAATTAAAACAAAAAACCAAAAAATTACTAAGGAGATTTTGCCTTTTCAGGCAGCTTGCCTGGCACCAGCAAAAATAATACAATAAAATGGGGAAAAATCCTCGCCTATCAAGAAACAAACAAACAAACAAAAGTGAAAAATCCTCCCCTATCAAGAAACAAACAAACAAACAAAAGGGGGGGGGGAAATCCAAGTTGAGGCACAGCAAGCAGGCACCGAGACATGACACCAAAAGGCTACACATGTCTTGTAATGTAATTTGTATTCTTTTGGCAACTGCTGAACATTTAAAGGGTTTATGGATTTTGTTTGTTGCTTTCTTTTGTTTTTGCTACAAAAGGCTTATGCAGAATACCATCATATCGCATCTCCTTGCCTGATATTTTGATGTTGTCAGAACTTTCACCTCTAAAACAATGTTTTTAGCTGAAACAATTTAACATAACCAAACATAAATGAGTCCAATAATTTTTTGAGATGTTTAAATCAAAAGGGCAGTTCACACACCTTTTAAAGTATTGTGATACATTTGTTACTTTTGGTACAAATGCTAGCACGAATGTGCCAAGAGATTCATATAAAAGGTTTCAAGCGAGCTGCCATATTAGCCTGTGGCAGCAAAAAGCAACAATGAATCTCCTTCCACCTCAAAAAGGTACAGTGGTGCCCCGCATGACAATGATAATGCATTCCATAGAAATCACTGTTTAGCGAAATCATCGTCATGTGAAAACCATTTCCCCGTTGGAATGCATTGAAACCCGTTTAATGCGTTCCAATGGGGAAAATACCTCGTCGTTTTGCGAAGATCACCCATAGGGCAGCCATTTTGCGAAGCACCGATCAGCTGTAAAAATGGCTGTCCTGCGAAGCATGGGTCCGGAAAACACAGGGCAGCCATTTTGTGCAGCCGCCGATCAGCTGTAGAAATTGTCGTCTTGAGCATAAACGTTCCGCGAAGCACAGACCAAATCATCATCAAGTGAAAATCACCCATTGGAATTACTGTTTTGTAAATCGCTATAGCGATTGCAAAAGTTATCGTTATGCAGATTCATCATTCAGCGGGGTTGTCATCTAGCAAGGTTCCCCTTGACATTTAGTCCAGTCACGTCTGACTCTAGGGTGCGGTGCTCATCCCCGTTTCCAAACCATGGAGCCAGCGTTTGTCCAAAGACAGTTTCCGTGGTCACATGGCCAGCGCGATTAGACACGGAAGGCAGCTACCTTCCCACTGAGGTGGTACCTATTTATCTACTCACATTTACATGCTTTCGAACTGCTAGGTTGGCAGGAGCTGGGACAAGTGATGGGAGCTCACTCTGTCACGTGGATTTGATCTTACGACGGCTGGTCTTCTGACCCTGCAGCACAGAAGCTTCTGTGGTTTAATCCGCAGCCCCGCCACATCCCTCTAAAAATCAAAAGTAAATATGTGGCCATGTCTACCTTTCTGTATGTACCATGTTTCCCCGAAAATAAGACAGGATCTTATATTAATTTTTGCTCCAAAAAACTGCATTAGGGCTTGTTTTCATGGGATTTTAATTTTTCCATGTACAACAATCTATATTTATTCAAATACAGTCATATCATTTTCTTCTGGTTGGTGCATAATGCTGCACAATGATGAACGGTGGGGTTACACTTAACAGGGGCTTATTTTGGGGGTAGGGTTTATATTAAGAGCATCCTGAAAAATCCTACTAAGGCTCATTTTCAGGTTAGGTCTTATTTTGGGGGAAACAGGTTATGTATGTAAGAGAGAGAGAGAGAGAGAGGAAGAGAGAGAGAATGCCCCTGTGTGTGTATCAATATCCATTTTTATCTTGGTTCCACCTATGATTGGTTGCTACGCCTTCCATACCATCATAAGAGGCAGCTGTTGCCACTGAGGAACATAAAAAGAATTACTCTACCACAACACTTTGCTCATCAGCAAGTTTATAGTGCAATGCTTCTGGGAGTGAAGGATTGGCTGGTCTCATGCCATTACCAAGGAGATGCTCGAGTGCACTTGCAAATGCTTTCCCACTCTTCAGGGAGCCTCATCCTCTCTAAGAATTTGGGTGTTTCTTTGGATAGAGCTGTGACCTACAGAAAACATTGTCTAAACACCAAATAGAAAGTTGCCATCCAAATTAACGTACTGAGGAAAGTGGCTGGGTCAGATTGGGTGGCACACTCACAAACAATGAGACTACAGTTATGTCTCTCTGTTACTCCACAACAGGATATGCTAGTGCTGTGTGGTATAAATCAGCACATGCCAAACAAGTGGATGAAGCTCTTAATGAATCGTGCAGGACTGCCTGAAACCTACCTTCATTGACAAAGTCTATTATTTGGCTGGCATTGCCCCTCCAGTCTATGTTGAGAAGTCCTAGCAAATAATGATTGAAATAAGATAGTGCGGTACCAAATCCATCCACTTCATGGATAGCAGCCTCCTAGACCAGCCATTCTCAATGGGACAATATGGTGCCCTAGGGGGCCTGGTCCATTGGAAGGGGGCCACAGACTGGAAACAATTCTTCACATGCCACCTTATAAGGTATACATTTTACAACTTATACAATCCTGATTCAGCCTATATTTTCTTTCATATTGTATTTATGGCCATGGCCCAAAAAAGGTTGCGAATGACTGCCCTAGACAATGGCAAAAATGAAGGAAAAGATTTCTGCACACCTCTTAGATTTTAAACAGGAAACCGGAAGGGGCTAGGCTAAACCCACGGAGAGTGAAAACAAGACACCTTGCCGAATGGATGAATGCTGAGAAGAGTCTCCCACCAGGACAAGACTCAGTCTACAGTGAGCTATCCGGAAGTTGTTTCATATTCAAAGTGAAGTAGGAAAGTCAAAGAATAATTAAGGAAAATGGAACTACTTGGATACAGGAAACATT